AAATGAATCGTTCGAACTGTAAAACAATGCATTTCGATTATATTTTCGTGTATCATTTAGCAATTTTAACTATTTACTCATAACGATTGAATCAGTGATTGAATTCCTAAACGTTATTTCATAGTTTAAATAATTCGTTTGTAATAATTAAGTTACTTTATTAACAACGACGGAAAAGACAGTTACACAATACACATATTTCTTGCTCTCTGAAACAATAAACAAAGCAAAAATGCAACAAATGAAACAATAAACATGAGCAAAAATTCTTATATGTTGTTATTATTATTGTAAAGAGACGATCACCGCTTTATATAATTTTTGACTACGTAACTTTTCTCCACATAAATTTCTATTTAATGTATCGATCGCATCGATGCAGTTATAATTTAAAAATTAATATCACGAAAGTGTAAACTCAGTTTTAGCCGATAAAAAATTAATAAAATATAAATAACGTATTCGTGAAAGTGTAACTTTGCGACAGAAATGTAAAAACTATTAAATTATTGATTAGTATAACGGAAAACTGTTTTTTAGAAATACTAAAAAAAATTATTAGTTGCTCCGGATCACTGACGACCAAACACGTAGGATTAACCTTGAGCGGTAGGGAGAATCATTACCAATTAAACTTCCTTCTTTTGGAAGTTTTAAAAAAAATTATCAATTGTTCCGGATCACCGACGACCGAAATATTAGATTAACCTTGAGCAAGTAGGGAGGCTCGTTATCAAATCAACTTTCACTTTGTGTACACAAAGATTCAATTTTCGAAGTTATCAACAACAGTTAAAGGAAAAAAAGTTATCAATTGTTCCGAATCACTGAGGACGAAAATATATTAGATGAACCTTGAGTGATACAGAGACTCATTAACAATTGAACGTTCGTCGTGTGCACACCGACCCAGCGAAGCATCGGGACATCGTGGGATGAGTGCGCCTTAGCTTTAAGTTGCGTGCGTTTAGTTTTAGTTAATCTCTGTAAATTCATTGTGAACGCATTCTGTACAAAGACACGTTTACTGAACTTGGGACGAAATTAGAAATCCCTTCATCTCCTCTCTTCTTTCGTTCGTTTTTGCTATTGTTACTTTGTTCGTTGCACTAGAGTCGGGTCACCAAGTTTCGCAGTCAGTTCTTATCTGTTATATTTCAAATTCTACCGAAGTTCATAATTATGAAACTCAATTAATTAATTTATTTAATAGTATTATATAAAAGGAAAGATGAAACTGAAAATTATTAATTATTAATTATTATAACAAAATATATCACCAGTGTCAATAAGTAATAAATGCATCTTTTATAGCATCTTTTATAGTCGGAGGATATCCGTCTTCTCTACTATGCTCAAACGAAATCATTTTTGTAATAATTATTTATAAATATTTATAATTTATCTAAGTTATCTTTATATAAATATTTATAATTTTGATTTTATAATTACGATAAATGTATATATTCTAATTGTTAAAATTGCGATGTGCAAAAAGCCCTATCTTTACTCACAGGTATAAAAAATACCTGCGGTTACTATGCTCATCAAAAATTCTACTTTTACAACCAGTCACCCGTGCCGATTCGGAT